TATAAAAAAAGAAATTGGGTGTGATTTTGAGCAATGGGAAAGGGTTGTCTGGCTGAGGTCTGGAGAGAGAGTCTCCTGGCTGAGTTCTGGGGAAAGGGTTGTCTGCAGAGTTTCTGGGGGAAGGTCTGTCTGACTAAGGTCTGGTGAGATGGTTATCTGCCAAGCTTCAAGTTCCAAGGAAGAAAACACTTGACCAATGTCATAGTCAAGCATCCGATGAATCCTAAAGGATCTCAGGAGCTATTTGCTATATATAAGGTAAAAGTAACAAGGTCCAAGTAAAAGGACTACATAATCTAGTAAACTAGGAATTATTTAAGGATTTGCAAAGGGGTCTTATTGATCTTTGGAAAAATTACAAAATTCAACTCATGATCTAGAGAGCCTAGTGTCATCTGGCCTTCAACTAGCCAGCCAAATATTCAATCACTATCCACCTTTTTCTTGGCCTTTAGTTATACAAACTTCAGCTTCAGGCTTTTCTCTGTCCACAGGCCTTGATTTCTCTGGAATTCTCTGGCTTCTCAACCTCCTGCCCAGTTCATGCCTACTCATCTTTAGATCTCAACTCAAATGCCAGAGTCAGATTCACTAATCTCATATTCTCATATATTTATCTTTCCTTTTCAGTTTTATATCTTACACAATTTATGTGAACATTTGTGACATATCGACCCGCCCAATTAGACACATTCCATGAGGAAAGAAGTCATGTGTGTTTCTTTTTAATAGTTTCAGCACTTAGCGCAATACCTAGGAAAGAATACGTACTCATTATAGAGTTATTGAATGAGTGATTTTATAAGCCAATTTAAAACTGAACTTTAAATCAAGATTAAGTCATTATCTAAGGACTGTCTCAACTGAGGCTGTAAACTAGATTCTTATTTCTAAGCCATATATATCCTTTGTCTCTGCTACTAGCATCTCATAGATTTTGAATTAAAATTAATCAAGATGCTAAAGTCATTATCTAAGGACTGTCCCAACTGAGGCTGTAAACTAGATTCTTATTTCTAAGCTATATATATCCTTTGTCTCTGCTACTAGCATCTCATAGATTTTGAATTAAAATTAATCAAGATGCTACAAATTTGGATCTGATATCAATTCAATGAAATCATATTCATTAGCACATAGCTGTTGATAGGATGGGTCCTATACTAAATCAATAAGAGGGTCTAGGAATATGTGTGGTAAGTTGAAAGGATAAAGGAGGGAGCATATTTAACTATATTACATATTTCTCACAGTAACTATTCTTAGATTGATCTAATGTCATCTAAAGTAGAGAAGGTAATCTTGGTATCAACAAAGGAAATAAAGTTACAATAGATGAGCTAATTATACTTAGTATAGTTTGCCTGGAATTACCTCCTTGAACAGTTATAATTACTTTTTTAGCATTTGTGGAAATGAGAATATAAAAAGTAAAAGCTGGTCAAACCTTTGTGCAAATTTTGAATAATCCCAGAATATTTCTTCAGCAGCAATGTAATAATTTCTTCTGTTTCCATTGTTGCTGCGGAGATACCATGCTGCAATGTTGTCAGGATTCCTGGAGGAGTTGATGTCTGTCCTAATATCAGTTCGGTAAGGGTCATCATAGGCCACATAGTCAATTTCAACATAATCTTCTTCACTGCTCTGTTCCTTTTGCGTGGGAATAAACTCAATATAATCTCCATCATCTCCACTCAGGCCAACTACAACCAATGGATTTAATTCCCTTGACATAAAAGTGCCATTGAGTGAAGGAGATGGAACATGATCAAGGTCTGCATAAGATAAGGTCTGACCAAATTCTGGAAGCGGCAATGAATGACTAGATTCAGAAGTGTCAACTATATGATCAATTTCAGGAGGAGGTGATGTTTTTCTGATATCTAGAAGGGTAGTTTCACTGATATCTGCAGAGTGGATTGCTTGACCTAGGTCTGGGCTAGGGGTCATCTGGCTGAGGTCTGGAGAGACAGTTTCTTGGCTAAGGTCTGGGGAAGGGGTTGCCTGGCTGAG